TTGTGGTGGTGTTGCTGCTGTTGACATTGTTCCATGGATGTTGCTGCTCATGCCTGTGCTTTGCTCTTATTTCTTCTCTGTTTTTCCTATTTTTTCCTATACTTTTCCTATTTTTTCCTATTTTATTCCTATCGTGTTTTGTCATTCCAATTTTTTTTGTATCCCGGATTCCTATTTTTTTCCTACTTTAATTATTTCCTGCTTTTCTCATGGCTGGCTGACGATTCCGTTTACTAGAAAAGGGTTTATAGAAGGATTCATGCCAGGGCTTCAAAGGGTCTATACAAGTGTTTACAGAAGGGCTTATAAGGGGGGTATAGAAGGGGATAGCAGGGAGTATTGAAGGGATTGGTAGTTGGACGAACGCATGGGCGGATGGATGGATGGACGGATGGACGGACGGACGGATGGACGGACGGAGGGAGGGACGGACGGATGGATGGACGGACGGACGGACGGAGGGAGGGATGGACGGATGGGATGGACGGATGCATGAATCTTTGAATTGTGGGATAGATGCATGACTGGACGGACGGACAGACAAAGGGAGGGAGGGAAGGAGGAAGGAGGGAGGGATGGATGGACAGATGGACGGATGGGCGGGCGGACGGAGGGACGGAGGGATGGATGGATGGATGCAGGGATGGACGGATGCATGAATGTTTGAATGGTGGGATAGATGGATGAATCAAACGAATGGGGATGGACGGAGGGAGGGAGGGAGGGACGGAGGGATGGAGAGATGGAGGGATGGATGGATGGATTGATGGATGGATGGATGGATTGATGCATGAGATGTGCGGTGTTGCCTCGCTGCTCTAAACACTTTCGGGACGGGCGTTACGGATCCAAAGCCTTGCATTTCGAGGCTTGCTGGTTTGCGGGTTTAGGGATGAGCCGTTTTCCGTTTCAGGCTCGCGAAGCGCAAGTTATGCTTAAGTGAGAAATTGGTCTCCAACAGGACAATTTGCCACTGAGCCGCGTCAGCTGAATCTATTCGTACATGAAAAACCGTGGCACCGCACACTCGCAAGCAAGCTGCTCAGTGACGACCCCAACCCACCGAGCCGGACTCGACCGTGGTGCTCGCAACACTGCCATGGACCCGTAACTGCTCAGCCTTGCAAAGCATTGCTTTCCCGACATCCCGTGCTTCTTTTGGTGAGACGCGAAACACTGCGAATTGTTGTCCACGGCGGTCTTTGCCAGGTGCGGATGACTCACATTCTGGTCTACTCCTTGTCGTCGTCCGTTGAGATGAGGACGGAAGGGCTTATGTTGTTTGTCATATCTTCGCAGGTAGGCGATTAACAAGTTGAGGAAGTTGTGAGCCGCTATCTGATGACGATACTTTAGGAGCAAAGCTTTGCGCGGTGTGCTTTGTTTGACATCACACTGGGCGGCTGTATATAAGTAGAGGATTGTTCTAGACTTTGCAGACAGCATTAATACACGCACGGGCTTGGTGGAGTTTTGGGCTGGCTGCTGATTAAGCATGTCATGGCCCGTGTTCGCTTGCTGTAGGTCCGGGATATGGCCCTCTGGCGCCGAAGCTCGTGAGGGCAGAGTCTCCCGATTGACTCATTTTGCCCGGCCCCCCCTACAACCGTTTGATGTCAGTGAATGCCGCAGAAACATGAGGTCAAACTACTCCCGGTAGGAAGCCGACAGCTGGAAGCACGTCGTTGCATTGCTGCAAGCTCTAAACTCTAGAACTGCAAACAATCATAAACATCTGGTTGGCCATGAGGCTCCAACCCACAGGCTCCTCCAAAGACTTGAATGCCGGACGTTTTCCCTGATGAAAACGGCCCCGTAGCATTCTGAATCAACGAACCAGGACACCGGCTTCCTTTGAGATCGCCGACGCCAATGCAAGCGTGTCCAACATCACTTTCCCAGATGAAGACCTGGATCTGCATGAAGTGGGAGGCGCCTGCCAAATGATTTTCGATGAAGCCAAACTTCCGGAGTTAGCATCGGCGACCACTCTGTCCTGAACCGTCTTGTGCTTGCGGAGGCACGGTGTCATGGAACCCCCCCGATCTGTACGAGGCGCGGGCTTAACTACTCCCCCTCGGCCAGAAGAAGCCTTCTACCTGGTCTGCCGAAGCGCTCTTGTCGTCTACCCACACGACGATCATCATGATGCTGCTGCTGATGATGACGATGCTGATGATGACGATGATGATGGTGTTGGTGGTGGTGATGCTTGTGACAATATGATGATGATGGTGATGATGATGATGATGACGGTGCTGCTGCTGATGATGGTAATGAAGAAGAAGCAGATGATGATGATGGTGACTATTGCTATTAGAATAATAGTAGTAATAATGGCAATAAGTATATTTTTAAATAGTATTACGATCATGATTATGATGCTGCTGCTGCTGCTGATGGTGATGATGATGATGACGACGGCGCCGCAGGAAGCAGTCGCACACTATCGCGTCTACATCGCCATGAACGATCGTGGACTCGACAGGTGCGGGGCTGAGCGGCAAAAATGAGAGTTGGAGGCATCCACACAGTGCACAGCTACAGGATCCTGGCAGCTCCTCAGTCGCCTGTGGGTACGAACTTCGGAGACGTTCCGGCCGAGACGATCTTGCCATACTGTGCCCAAGCTCCAGGTGCAAATCTGTCCCAGGACAACGCGCTCTTTCGGATTCCTAGCGTGCTGTGTCTGAACTTAACCTAGGGCCTAGCGCCCGATCGAACGGAACAACTCAGGCGATCAGAGTGCCAATGTCCGGCCGATTGCCTTACAAGCGGCGCAGCCCACAGTGGTTCCTCGGAAGCAACGGTTCGTTCTTTACGGAGGGTCTTTGCTCCAAGCCCGGGGATGAAGAGGGGATGCTTTTTGCTAACTATAGATCCGCTACTGTCGCTTCTCTATTCTGACAGCTTGTGGGTCATCCCGTTCTGCTGATATGGACCGCTTTCAATCATCATGCCGGGGTCAAGACCTGGCATGCGGCTGCCCCGAAACCTTGGCTTTGGGTCCCGAGCGAGGTGTTGGTGCATTCTGTCTCCACGCTCTCCGAGCAGACGACCCCGACGTGGAAGAATGTCAGTGACACCAACTTCCAGGCTCGTCCTGTCGCTGCGGGGGTAGGCTCAGTGAGGAGGACAAGGACGAAGGGTCACCCAGACACCGCGCGCTACTGTTGTCAGGTCACCAACGTTCAGTTGGAAGATCTTGACTTGGATTTTCAACAACTCGGAGGCTCGATAACCTGGGAGCCTTGTCAAGACACGAGACCTGTGAATCCAAGCAAACAAGGTTCGAGTTGCAACCTAGGAAGAGTAGCTGCTTTGTTTTGTGTGGGTAACATCTTGAAAAGTTTCTCGGGTGTAATAGAGCAATAGAGAGCTCATCACCACACCGGGATCAACAACATCAATATCGACAACAGCAAAACAGATGTGGCTACTTGTGCCGTCGACTTCAGACACATGGGGAGCATGATTAGCAAGTGTTAGCTTAGGTCGCTGACCACTCGCAAGTTCTGCGTGTGAAGGAGTTTCGTCAGTTCAACCCGAACGACTGCTCTCACTTGGGACAGCGAGCTGTGCCGTGCACAGCTATTCCTGCAAGGGAAGATGAGTAGGCATGACAGACGCGGAGGCATCATGGCGTAGGCATACAGAAGAAAAGCAGGACTCTCCCATGATCAAGAGATCCCAACATCTGTTTCCCAAGACAGTTTCTTGACGGCCTGCGTCTCAGGATATTCCGTACCAGGAGTCTCTGGTGACCCACTACATGGTGTATTTCGGCCGGCTGATCTACAGCCGCTTTGCTTCGCAAGAGCCAGCATCGAGGTGGAGCCGGAGTAGGTTTGCCTTTGCCATCGCCAGGCTATGGAACCGACACAGACGGCGACTGGTTCATCAACACTGCCTCCAAGGACACCTGAATTGTGCGGGCATTGGGGTGATGTCGGTATTGCCGCTCGCTCATCAAGCTACAGCTTTGGCGCGTGTTCACTCCAGGAAACATAGGTGTGCAGTTTCTCAGAGTTCGAGCCATCCTTGCCAGAAGGACACCTTTGTTGCCGCTGCAATTTGGTGGCACTTCGCTCCGATCTCAGATGCCAGAAACCAGCATGACTTCAGGAAAGATGGTGTCAGCATTTGTGTCTCGAAGAAGACTTGCACGTCCGAAGCTCTTGAAGCCTTCGAGCTGAGGTTGAATTGAAGGCCGAAACCACCTTTGCCCCGAGTGACTACATCTTGGTATATGCAGCTTCAGCAGTCACCTCAGCCCACATGAGACATGCAAACGTTTCATATCATGCTGTGGCGATCGCGAGGGGGCTGATCTGAGTCTGCCAGTCTGCTGTCTCCATAAGGAACTCCGAGTTTTCAAGACAGGTTGGAGGTGTTCCTTACTGCAGTTGCAGTTGTTGAGGAGTATGTCAGCATGTCCATCGGATGGGAGGTGAGGTGGAGTGGGGGTGGGTCGGTCGGCAGGTGCGCAAAGGCATAATTATATGTAATATGTATGTATGTGTAGATGTATGTTTTTCTCTGTGTGTGTTGCGCATGTGCGTGTGCGGGCCTGTGTGCGCATGTCTCTGTGTGTGTCCGCGTCCACGGCACAGAGCGTCACTGCTTTGCAGATGCACCTACATGAAGCGTGGATTCGCATGAATGGCAGGGGAAGGCTGCTGACGAAGCCAGGCCTCAGAACAAAAACGGTTGCACAGGTTTCGTTTTCTTTACAGGCACCTTTAGCAGCACAAAAAAGAACATGGCACCACCTTGCCGCAGTTGTGCAACATCTAGCGCGGATCAGTGACTATAGTGATCTGCTTGCAAGGTTGTCTTTGCGTGTGTATGTGCGTGCGTGCGTGCGTGCGCGCGCGCGCGGGTGTGTGTGTGTGTGTGTGCGTGTGTGTGTTTGTTTGGGTCCTTTGAAATGTTTAGAGGGTTTATAGGTATTGCGCTGTTGTTCTGGTTTGTTGGCTGAAAGGGTTCTGTATAAGGA